GGGGCAGGGAGGGCGCTCGCGGAGCGAGGCCAGGGGGAGGGCGCCAGGAAGTCGGGGCAGTCAGCTCACGGGCCGCTGTAGGCCCCCGCACCAGCAAACACCTACTGAACTTGTGGCCTGGAACCAGGTCTTCACGCATCTGCTCATGGTCCAAAGGACACGTAACACCAACTGGAAGCTGAGGAGACTGAAATCCGTTTTAAAAGATAGGTTGCATTTAAAGGAATAAACGCTGCTATTCCCAGTGGAGAGATGGTAACGGGTAGGAGTGGGTCAGAAAACACACACTTTGGGGCTTATGAATGTTATCCATCTGCGGCTGGCAAGAAAATACTTTCTGCTCAGCCAGATTGGGGCGGGGGGCAATTCCTCCAGCAAGCCAAAGTTTCAGTTAACTATTGCCGCATAACAAACTGCCTCAAACATCAGCAGCTTAAAACGGCTTATTTCTGACATTTATATGGTTTCACCCGAGCTTTATTCAACCAGGGTTGGCTGAACTGGAAGGTCCAGAATAGTCCTGAATATTCATGCCCTTGGCAATTGACGCTTAGCGGCTGCTGGGACATCTTAGATCAGGTCTAGCCTTGGAAGAGGCACTGCAGCCACAATTCTATTGTCCAGAGCAAGAGTCAGGCCGGAGATAAAGGGTGGAGCAGTGGACTCCACCTCTTAATGAGAGGAGCCCAAATAATTTAGAGTCATCTTTTTCAATCTTCCACAAAAGTGAAAATTTTCAGTTCGAATAGAAACTACCAAGACTTGCATCTTGGAATTAGAAGCATCCAGGGTTCACAATTTGGTGACTCTGAGCGGGTCTCCCAAAAAAGCAACAATAAAGACACAGTGGCTCCTCATTTACCATTACCCTTTTGATTGAAGTCACTCTGAGCTCCTTCCTTGTATTATGCAGATGGAACAAATTGTGTACAGAGTGAGCCCCAGTAGGAATTTTCCTAGTTATTAAAAATAGCCACACAGAACTGTTTCCCTTTGCTTATATTGTTTTCCTAAATTTCATTTCTCTGAAATCTGAGATGGTAGTTTTCCCCCCTATTTTCTACTGGGGTGGTTTTCAGGAATCCCATTCCCTCCTTTCTGCTCTGAGACTTTTGTCTTTTGGTTATTTTTTTTAATTTTATTTATTTGACAGAGAGAGATCACAAGTAGGCAGAGAGAGATGGAGAAGCAGGCTCCCTGCAGAGCAGATAGCCGGATGCAAGGCTTGATCCCAGGACCCTGAGATCATGTCCTGAGCCAAAGGCAGAGGCTTAACCCACTGAGCCACCCAGGCGCCCCTTTTGTCCTTTGGTTATTCTTAACCCCTCTCCTACTGCACCTTCTCCACTGGTACCTTCTTCCACTGATGCTCAGATGTGAACTCTGACTCATCATAATCCTCCAGTGACCTCACTTCTTTTTCCACCTTTCATCCCACTTACTTCCCTTTAGAGCAGAGGTTCTTCAAGGACTTGCTGCACATTCAGTATCTACTTCCTTCCTTCCCATTCATAATCAGCCTACTCCAACATTTCTTCTGTCCCTATTCCATCAATAGTGCTTTTTGGAGGGATGAGGGTGAAATGGGTCAAGGTGGTCAAAGGTATAAACTTCCAGGTATAAGATAAATAGGTCCTGGGGATCTAATGTACAGCGTGGTGTCTATACAATATTGTCTTATATATTTAAAAGGTGCTGAAAGTAGATCTCAAAAGTTCTTGTGGTGATGGACATTAACTTATTGTTTTGCATTGTATACATATAAAATATCATTATGTCATACACCTAAAACTAATACAACGTCATGTCAACTACATTTTCAGTAAAAGTAGAAATAAAGAATAAATTTCTTTACATCATTATAGAAATTATTCAGGGTTGAGGAAGAATGAGGTCAGCTCCTTATTCTCAAATGGTTGTGGGAGAGGGAAAGGTCTTTGAATTAGCAACTTTTCTGTAAATTTGACATTGTTTCAAAATAAAAGGAAAATAATATATGTTAGGTGTCTTATACTGTAATAAAGACTGTTAGTGCCCTGCCCATGTCCCCTTTACCCTTAATCCATGCTTTCCTTCTTCAGCTGCCATGGTGTAGGAGCTTTTGTGCCCAGAGACACCTGAGTGATTCATGCCACCTCCTTGCTCCTCCAGCCTCCCTCTTTGGCTTTGTGGTGACAACCAAGGCCAGACCAGTAGGGGATACAATCATCCCACCCTGTGGATCAGGCCAAGAATTTATCTAAGCTCTCATCCTTAGTTGACTCTTCATGTTGCCCCATCTTGCTGTCTTCACTCCCTTAAATGCTTTTCCTACAGAGCATACTCTCAAAAATCATGTGCACCTGAATCCCTGTCTCAGGTAGCTTCTGGGAGTCCCAATTAAGACAGTCACACTAGCTCAAAAAATGAAAGCTTTTATTATTAGCATCATGACAACACCAATAGATGCAATACCAATGCATGTATAATCATAGGTTTAGATATCTTATTTTATGGATATGTTGGTAAAGTCTCTTATTTTATGGATATGTTGTAAAGTCTCCCAACACCCTTATTTCTGCTAAAGTACACTTTTTAATATGGAGAATTTGCTATCTTAATAGAAACAACAAAACTCTGAAAAGTAGTCACTTTAAGATACCACTTGTAGAATTTTCCCAAAACACCTAAGTGAGGTTGTTGTCCTTATTGAGCTTGTTCCATTCTACCTCTTCCAGGAAGTCTTTGTGGAATTCCCTTCTTGAGCGGGCTGCTAAAACTATGGCTTAGATTGGATTTGGGGATTCCAATTTTCTGTTGTCTGAGCAGCAGTGGTTCTCAATGAGAGTAATTAATGTTTGCATTTTTTATAGTCTCAATGACTGGAGTGTTACACTGTATTTCACATCCTGCAATGCAGGAGGCATCAAGCACAATGAAAGATCATCCCAAATTCAGCATCCAACATGACTATCAAATGTTCTTTTTGACACTCATGGAGATGAAAAACAAGGCTGTAAATATCTGAGCCATGCCCCTGTTTAAAAAAAAAAAAAAAAAAGGAAAGTAGTTTTTGTTAAGGTTACTGCAACATTTCATACTGCTGGATCCAATGGACCTTTCCATCCTTGTCTAACCTTTCAGTTGACTACCTCCACCGTAACAACTACTGTGTGCAATCTTGACATTACCTTGTCTTAGTTTTCTACCATCTCACTGCCAAGTCCTCAGTTCCCTTTGCTAGCCTCCCCATGCTGACCAGCTCCTAAAATGTTTGAGTTCCTCAGGACTTTAGCTCACACTATACATTCACCTTAAACAATCTCATTCATTTCCAAGGCTTTCAATACCATTTCTACATACAACTTCAAAATTCATATTTTTAATTCCATACATATAACTGTCTACTTGCCTTGGAAACTGTGTTATGTCCCAAAACCATGCTCCTGAGCTCAGTCTTTTCCCCAGAGAACTTCCATGCATAGCCTTTTTAGCTGGAATTCCTTTCTTTTTCCTCACTTCTCACTTCCAAACCATCATTCTGTCCTGCTAACCTTCACCAGGACTCTCTCTACTTCTCAAGACCTTGACCGTTACCATCATCTTACTTGGACAACTATCTCACTGCAAAAGCTATAAATGACATGACCTTAGAGAAAACTTCCTAGTTCCCACGATTAAAAATCAAGTTTATGTGTCCTGTCCCTCTAGACATTTTACTTTTTCTTCATGGCACATCATAATTTTTATCTTATATAATTACTGTCTGATGTTCTATCTTCTCTGGCAGACAGACGGTAAACATTATGATGGCAGTGCCTATTTTATTCACCACTGTATCTCTAGCAACAAGCACAGTGCCAGGTTAGGTGAACAAATCAAATAATTTAATTTTTTTTCTGTCCCAAAGAATTATGTTCTGAAAATGATAAAAGCATCATCCTATTGGCTTATATCCCATTCAATAATTTTATTTAGCTCTAAGCTTAATATTCCCTATAAATATGCTACATTTGTGTTTTTCTGATTCATAAATATTGATTCCCCTAAGAGAAGATGCCTTTTCATCTTTGTTTTTATGACTATTATGGAGATAACTCACAATTGGGCATTAGAAATAGCCAATAAATTTTAAAGTACAGGAAAATGTTCAAAACCTACATAATATAGTTACAGGTCACTATATGTCCAGACACAAAATGGTTTTAATTTCATCTTATAATACTTGGGACAATACTGCTGTCTCAAACTACTAGACATTTCAGTAAGAATGACAAACTGATATATATATATATATATATAAAACAAGATTTTTTTTAACACTAGGCTGTTTTCTTATATTAAATATCAGTAGTATAAAATGGTAGTATCGAAGATAAACTGTTACACTTGAAAATAACTATTTTGTAATTTTGAAATGAATTCAGTGTGGAGGCAAACAGTTTTAAAAGGGTCATTGATTTAAAATGTGAAATGCTTCACAAGGTATGTAATTTACTGATCTTTTGCAGAGTTTACCTGAAGTGATCGCTTATAGAACAGAAATGCAAAAATGCAGGAAGATAAAGTAATGTAAAGCAAAATCACAAACTAGAACTCTTACAAAATTGGTACACCATATGTAGTGTGAAATACAGATGTCAAATTGTTTGGGCACTGTTTTTTGATCACTTGTTAAAGAAATACATTATAATTTAAAAATTTGGGTACCATTTAAATACTGTTATTCAAAAAATTCTGATTTTTGACAAGGATAGAATGTAATACCAAAGAATTTTGCCTTGAGTTTTGGAAAGTTTTTTTCCCCTAAAACATTAACTTTTAAAAATATGTATCAAAAAAAATAAATAAATAAATAAAATATGTATCAAAAAAGTGCAGCCTAATGTGATTCGTGAATAGTGAAAAATAAGCAATTGTCTTCCTTCATTAGGTTTTCCTAGTAAGGTTAAGTTCTCATTCAACATGCACTCGTAGTCAAAAGCAAATTCTGGTTTCTTTGATAGTATGTACAAATAACTTCATTCCACATCTGTCATTTCTATTCCATCACTTTCTTTAACATATACCACAGAACCCGAGGTTTTCTCTGAAAGAGATCCTGAGCCAATCTCTTTACTTCTTGTAAAGTTTTCTTGGTTCGTGTCTTCTAATCTGATTTTCTTGGTGTTTTGAAATAATCGAGTCACTGGTTCCAACTTGCTTTTCTCAGTTCCTTGCATCAAATGATCATCCACTTTTGAATCCATGTGCATAGCAGATACCTGAGTAGCAGATTTACTAAGGGAAAATCCCATGGGGATGGTTGAATAAATACAGTTTGCAGATACCTCTTTAAGTAGTGGAAACGTTTCTTCAACTTGATTGCTTGGAAAAGAAATAACAACAAGTGAATACAGTGGGAATTTCAACTAACCTCATGGCAATGCTTGTTTTCATGAAACATCATGATGATGAAGCCAAAAATATAAGGTAAAATGCCTTCCATCTCTGTGTTCACATTTTCTTTGTGAAAGAGTTTGTAGGCTCTATAGATTCTCTGAAAGTCTTTTTATAAAGGAATTTATCAGGTTTTATGCTTTGTCACCTTTCAGAAAATAAAAGAACTTCTCTACTTAGTCCATTATATCATTTTTGCTATCAAAAACTTTTAACAAATTATTAATGGATTAAAGAAATAATTACTGAAGAAATACAAACAATTAGAATAGTATGAGCAATTATATACCAATAAATTAGGCAACCTGGAAGAAATGGATAAATTCCTAGAAACCTATGAACTACCAAACTAAAACAGGAAGAAATAGAAAACCTGAACAGACCCATAATCAGCAAAGAACTGAATTACTAATCAAAAATCTCCCAACAAACAGGAGTCTTGGGCTAGTTGGCTTCCCGGGGTCATTCTAACAAACGTTTAAGGAAGAATTAATACCTATTCTTCTGAAGCTGTTTCAAAAAATAGAAATGGAAGGAAAACTTTCAAATTCTTTCTATGAGGCTAGCATTACCTTGATCCCCAAACCAGACAAAGACTCCACTAAAAAGGAAAATTACAGACCAATATCCCTGATGAACATGGATGTAAAAATTCTTACCAAGATACTAGCTAATAAGATCCAACAGTACATTAAAAGGATTATTTACCATGACCAAGTGGGATTTATTCCTGGGATACAGGGTTGGTTTAAGATCTTCAAATCAATCAATGTGATATACCACATTAATAAAAGAAAGTATAAGAACTGTATGGTCCTCTCAATAAATGCAGAAAAAGCATTTGACAAAATATAGCATCCTTTCTTGATAAAAACTCTCCACTGTGTAGGGTTAGAAGGAACATACCTCAATGTTGTAAAAGCCATATGAAAACCCACAGTGAATATTATTCTCAATGGGGAAAAATGAGAACTTTTCCCCTAAGGTCAGGAACAGGACAGGGATATACACTCTTACCACTGTTGTTCAACATAGTACTGGAAGTCCTAGCTTCAGCAGTCAGACAACAAAAAGAAATAAAAGGCATCCAAATTGGCAAAGAAGTCAAACATTCACTCTTCACAGATAACATGATACTCTATTTGAAAAACCCAAAGGACTCCACCAAAAAATTGCTAGAACTGATACAGGAATTCAGCAAAGTCATAGGATATAAAATCACACTTGATCTTAGCCAAAAGGCAGAGAAGCGATAGGATATAAAATCAATGCACAGAAATCTGTTACATTTCTATGCCCTAACAATAAAGCAGCAGAAAGAGAAATCAAGGAATTGATCCCGTTCACAATTGCATCAAAAATCACAAGGTACCTCAGAATAAACCTAACCAAAGAGTTAAAAGATCTATACTCTGAAAACTATAGAATACTCATGAAAGATATTGAGGAAGACACAAAGCAATGGAAAAACATTCCATGCTCATGGATTGGGAGAACAAATATTGTTAAAAATGTTAGAGCTTCCCTATGACCCTGTAATTGCACTACTGGGTATTTACCCAAAGATACAGAGGTAGTGAAAGAAGGGCCATCTGTACCCCAATGTTTATAGCAGCAATGGCCACGGTCGCCAAACTGTGGAAAGAACCAAGATGCCCTTCAACGGACGAATGGATAAGGAAGATGTGGTCCATATACACTATGGACTATTATGCCTGCATCAGAAAGGCTGAATACCCAACTTTTGTAGCAACATGGACAGGACTGGAAGAGATTATGCTGAGTGAAATAAGTCAAGCAGAGAGAGTCAATTATATGGTTTCACTTATTTGTGGAGCATAACAAATAACATGGAGGACAAAGGGAGTTAGAGAGGAGAAGAGAGTTGGGAGAAGTTGGAAGGGGAGGTGAATCATGAGAGACTATGGACTCTGAAAAACAATCTGAGGGGTTTGAAGGGATGGGGGGTGGGAGGCTGGGGGAACCAGGTGGTGGATATTAGAGAGGGCACGGATTGCATGGAGCACTGGGTGTGGTGCAAAAACAATGTATACTGTTATGCTGAAAATAAAATTTAAAAAAAGTCTATGCTACCCAAAGCAATCTACACATTTAATGCAATTACTATCAAAATACTACCAGCATTTCTCACAGAGCTGGAATAAACCATTCCAAAATTTGTATGGAACTAGAAAAGACCCCCGAATAGCCAAAGTAATGTTGAAAAAGAAAACCGGGGTGCCTTTGTGGCTCAGTTAATTATCTGACTCTTGATTTCAACTCAGGTCATGATCTCAGGGTCCTGGGATCAAGCCCTGTGTCAGGCTCCACACTTGTGGAGGATTCTTTCTCTCCCCTCTGCATTCTCTCTCTCTCTCAAGTAAATAAATAAATCTGAAAGAAAGGCGGGGGGGGCGGGGTGAGGAAGGGAGGGAGGGAGGGAGGGAGGAAAAGAAAGAGAAGAAAGGAAAGAAAAAAGAAACCAAAGCTGGAGGCATCACAATTCTGGACTTTAAGCTGTATTACAAAGCTCTAATCACCATTGATACTGGCACAAAAACAGACACATAGATGAATGGAACAGAATAGAGAACCCAGAAATGGACCCTCAGCTCTACAGTCAAGTAATTTTCTACAAAGCAGTAAAGAATATCCAATGGAAAAATGACAGACTCTTCAACAAATGGTGTTAGAAAAATTGGACAGCCACATGCAGAATGAAATTGGACCACTTTCTTACACTACACCCAAAAATAAATTCAAAATAGATGAAAGACCTCAAGGTGAGACAGGAATCCATCAAAATCCTAGAACAGAGCCAGCAACCTCTTTGACCTCAGCCACAGCAACTTCTTGCTAGACACCTCTCCAGAGGCAAGGGAAACAAAAGCAACAATGAATTACTGGGACTTCATCAGGATAAAAAGCTTCTGCACAGCAAAGGAAGCAATCAACAAAACTAAAAGGTGACCTACAGGATGGGAGAAGATATTCACAAATGACATATCAGATAAAGGGCCAGTATCCAAAACCTATAAAGAACTTAACATACTCAACATGCAAAACCCAAAAAAATCCTGTCAAGAAATGGGCAGAAGACATGAACAGACATTTCCCCAAGCAGACATACAAATGGCCAACAGACACATGAAGAAAATGCTCAACATCACTCAACATCAGGGAAATACAACCAAAATCACAATGAGATAACACCTCACACCTGTCAGAATGGCTAAAATGAACAACTCAGGAAACAAAAGATGTTGGGAAGGATACAAATAAAGGGGAACCATCTTACACTGTTGGTGGAAATGAAAACTCATGCAGCCACTCTGGAAAACAGTACACAGGTTCCTCAAAAAGTTAAAAATAGAGCTATCCTATGACCTAGCAACTGCACTACTAGGTATTTATCCAAAGGATAAAAACATAGTTATTCAAAAGGGCACCTGCACCCCAATGTTCATAACAGCAATATCCACAATAGCCAAAATATGCAAAGAGCCAAGGTGTCCATCAATAGAAGAATGGATAAAGAATATGTTGTGTGTATATATATGTAATGGAATATTACTTAGCCATCAAAAATGAAATCTTGTCATTTGCAACAATGTGGACAGAACTAGAGAGTATTATGCCAAGTGAAATAAGTCAGTCAGAGAAAGACAGATACCATATGATTTCACTCATATGTGGAATTTAAGAAACAAAACAGACAAACAAAGGGGAAGGGAAGGAAAAATAAAACAATATAAAAATAGGAAGGCAAACCATAAGAGACTCTTAACTATAGGAAAGAAACTGAGGTTGGCTAGAGGGGAGGTGGGGGGGATGTGGTAATCAGGTGATGGGCATTAAGGAGGGCACTTGATATAATAAGCACTGGGTGTTATATGGAACTGATGAATTGCTACATTCTAGCATTGAAACTAATAATACACTATATGTTAACGAAACTGAATTTGAATAAAAAATTTTTAGTTGTATTTCTATGCACTAACAATGCATAATCTGCAAAGAAAATTAAGAAAATAAATCCATCTACAATAGTGTAAATAGAACAAAAAAATACTTAGGAATTAACCAAGGTAAAAGACTTGTATGATGAAAACTAAAACACCATTGAAAGAAATTAAAGAAGACATAAATAAAACATATCCCATGTTCATGGATTAGAAGACCTAATATTGCAAGATGTCTATATTACTCAAAGTGATCTACACATTCAGTGCAATCCCTATCAACATCCCAGTGACACTTTTTGCAGAAATAGAAAAATCCATCCAAAAATTCATTTGGAATCACAAATAATCAAAATAACCTTGAAAAAGAAGAAAAAGTGGAGGACTCACAATGGCCTAAAAGCAGACATACAGACCAATGTAACAGAATAGAGAGCCCAGAAATAAACCCTCAGATACATGGTCAAATGATTTTTGACAAAGGTGCTTCGATAATTTGATGAAGAACAGGACAATATTTTCAACAAAAGGTGCTGGGGAAACCAGATATCCATGTGCAAAAAAAAAAAAGAAAGAAATTGATATTTACCCAACACTATATGCAAAAATTAATTCAAAATCTATCAAAGACCTAAATGTAAGATCTAAAACTATAAAACTGGACACCTAGACAGCGGGTACCCATCTATTAATGTGGGATCCAGAGTCAGAAAAAAACTTTTTAAAATCTCAAGAAGACCTTATTCCATGCCCCAGCTTTAAAGGGAATGACCTTGGATGTTCTAACCCAGGCCTGGGGACCAGCTCAATAGCAAGTGGGATATTTACCAACTGCTTGTTAGAGCCTATCTGGGAAGGCCTACAAACAGTGATTTTAGCCACTCCAATAGCAATCTAAGTGCCTAAATTTGAAGCCTGTATCCACTATTTCAGTCAAACCCTGGTCCCTAGTGGGGTCTAACAATAAGCAACCGAAATCCCTCTATGAACCCAGAAAGGACCTCAAACTAGACTTGAAGATACAAGTCACAGATTAGTCTTCTTAAATGTTACCTTCCCTTTATCCTATCAAAATCATAATCCTTATGGGATTCCTTTTTCCTGCCCTCTCCTCTGTGTGTATGGGGGAGTTCACTAAAACATCCCCTATCTCTCACTGGACCCCTGGCTGTACTCAGTCTTGCATTATGCTTTGGGCTTTGCCTCCTAAGTGCCCTAACTGGCTTTATATTTTCCAGAATAAAGGTCATCAAATTCCAAATGATGGTTCAGATGGAGCCTCACATAGAGGTCAAACCAGACATCTATAGGGGACCCTTGATAGACTGAGATGAGAGGAACCCTGACTACTAACCCATCCAATGCCCCTGACCAGCAGGAAGTAGCTACAATTGGTCATCACCTTTCTTCCCTAATAGCAGTTAGGGTTACCTCTTCAGAGGGGGAAATGATGGAAGATAGCTAGAAGGCAGGCGGGAGGGACAGGGGGCCCTCCCACCCTAAGAGAAAACCACCCTTAAAAGGATTTAACATCATACTGAATGTCCTTAATACACTGAACTGTACACTTAAAAATGGTTAAGATGGTAAATTGTATGTATATTTTACCACGGTACAAAAAAAAAAAAGTCCAATAAAGATACAGTACCTCTTAGTACAGATACCCAATCTGTCAAGAGATATGAATGTGCAACATGGAGGGAGGACTTGGAAAGGTTCTGAAAGGAGGGGACCAAAGGTCAGAGTTGGGCTTTGATAGATCTCTCTGATGATATTCTAAAATGTAGGTATACCTATTTCTTAGAGTTGGAAACTCCAGGTGAATTTTTTTTTCATCAAATATATATCTAATATTATCTTCAAATTAATAAAATTGAATTTCTTCTATTCTTTGGTCTGTCCTCTTTGATTACTTAAAAAGGAAGTCCTTCTGTTAAAAATGTATAACTTGAATCTAATTATGAGGAAACAATCAGATAAACCCAAATTGAGATATTATATAAAACAGCCTCTACTCAAAAATGTCAATGTATGAAAGACAAAGAGAAACTGAAGAATTGTTCCAGATTAAAGAAGACTAAAGAGACATGATTTCCAAATGCAATGAACGATCCTTATTTGGGGAGGTGGGGGAGAAATGTATCATAAGGGCCATTTCTTGGACAATTGGAAAATTTGAATATGGATAGTTTATTAAATAATAATATTGCATTGATGTGAAATGCCTTGAATCTGACAACTGTACTGTGGTTATATTACTGAATGTTCTTGTTCTTAGGAGATACGTGCTGAAATAGGGGTAAAGGATCATATCTACAACTTGCTTTCAAATTACCTAGCAATAGATAGATATGAAGAGAAAATAAATGTGTTAAATGTTAACAATTGTTCAGTTTGGTAAGAAAGGATAAAAAATTGTTCAGTGTATTATTCTTGTTAAGTTTCTGTATGCTTAAAACTTCAAAATACAAAGTTGAAAACTAAAAATAATATACAATTGACGCTTGAACAACACACTTTTGAACCACATGTATCCACTTATATGCAAATTTTTTCAATAAATAACAGCATAGTAATGTAAATGTATTTCCTCTTAGATTTTTCTTAATAACCTTTTCTTCTCTGTAGCTTACTTATCATAAGAATACAGTATATAATACATATGATATACAAAATATGTGTTAATTTTTATATTATTGGTAAGGCTTCCAGTCAGCAGTAGGCTATTAGTTCAGTTTTGGGGGCTTGATAGGTATATGCAGATTTTTTACTGCATGGGCAGGGGGTTGGTGCCTCTCACCCCTGCATTGTTGAAGAGTCAACAATAGTAACAAAACTCTGTAAAACAACAACATACTGCATTTGAATTCAACAATGGTAAAATAATGGTAACATACAGATTCTCAATTAGCACATTAAATTTCAGTTTAATAGAGGGATTGAGAAGGGACCAAAAGCAATAAGGTAGATTTGGCCCTTTGAGTCTCACCTTAATTTGTCTGGAATCTTGTGGACACGGAGAACAAGTGTATTTTGGGCCTCTTGGCTTGACATTCACGTTGCCATTCAAGAAAAAAATCTTAAATGCATAAGGAAGAATAAAGTTCCATTAAAAACTAAATAAATTTGGACATACACAACTTGCCTTATCATTAAGATATGCTACAAAGTGAAAGTGAAAAAAAAAGTGTACAGTTTAGTACAGGTGAAGGAACAAATAAAGGACCAACAGAACATGACAGAGTTCTAATCTGGACCTAGTTATGTGCCAGAACTTCACATATGGTAAAAGTGGCACCATACAACAAAGGGGGATAGAACAGACCAAGTTAGTAGACTAATACTGTGAATACCGACTCATCATGGGAATGAAAATAAAGCTGGATCACTATTTTGGATATAAACAAAAGTAGACTCCAAATACAGTAAAGACCTATATGTGGTATCATAGAACTATAAATGAAATTTTTAAAGTGTAGGACAATATGTTTGTCACCTTGGGTGGAGAAGGATTTATTGAATAAAAACTGAAGGGCTTAAAAGAATAAGGAAGAAAACAGATGGACCTGACTACTCATAATTAAGAACTTCAATAAAGTATAAAAAAAGTTAAAATGATGGAGATTGGAAGATGTGCTATATAAAGCAGACAAGGTTTATGCTTGAATATGAGAATAACGACAAACCAACAAGAAAAAAGGAAATCCAATAGAAAAATGGGCAAAGGGTATAAAGATATAATTCACAGATTGGAGAATCCCAAATAGATAATAAGTACATAAAGAGATGTTTAAACTTACTAAGAATCAGAGAAATGCAAGTTTACTACCATCAGAATGGCATACTAGAAAGGTGGATAACATGGAGATTTAAGGAGAATATAGGATGATGGGAAAACCTGTGCATTGCTGGTGGAGTAATTTCTAGCTCCTATTAACATTCCACATCCAATCCTTCAATGAATCTTGTTTCTGTTTCTATACTTTCCCACTGTATGTTCTTCAGACTGTATCTGGAATGTCTTTTAAATTATGAACCAGATCTCATCGATCCTCTGCTCACCACTCTGCTCTAGGTACCTTCCATGTCAGAGTGAAAGCCAAATTGTCTACATGTTGAGTCTCCAGCTGTGTTAGGCAGAAAAATTGTCCCCAAAGATGTCCACATAGTAATTCCCAGACCCTGTGAATATGTCACATAGCAAGGGGAAATTAAGGTTGCAGATTGAATTAAGGTTCCCAGTCAACCAACCTTGAGGTAGTGAGATTATCCTGGACTCATCACTGGTGATCACTGGTCTGCATAAGTGAAAGAGAGGTGGGAATGTCACTGCTAGAATGATGCAATGTGGGAAGGACCTGACTGGCTATTGCTGGTTTTGAAGATAAAAGGACACCATGAGCCGAACAAAGCAGGCATTCTGCAGAAACTGGAAAGATAAGAAAATGGATATTCCCGGAGAACTCCCAGAAGGAATACAGCCCAGCTGACATCTTGATTGTACTCTAGTGAGATCCATTTTGGACTCCTAACCTCCACAACTTAAGATAATATACTTGTGCTGTTTAAAGCCACCAAGTTTGTGGTAAATTATTACAGCAGCAATAGGAGACTGATATGCCAGCTAACACTGTGTCCGCTCAGACTCCTATCTCTCTCACTTATTCTGCCCCATGAACTCGCTGCCATTCCTAAGTATATGCTGTGCCAACCCCTCTTCTGCTTAGGGCTCATATGCTCACAGTTCCCTCAGTCTGAAGCAATTTTTAAATTTCAAACCACTGTTATAAAACAGACAAAACACATGGTTTTTAGATAATGTATAAAGGCAGTGGAGGAGAGTAATCCCTGACAGAAAGGAAATAAACGAGGTGAGCCCTCTAAGTGCTTACTGCCTGAAAATTTCAGTCTTCTGCACAAGGAAGGGGAACCCAAAGTGTGCCCGGTTATTTCAATGAGTTGAGAAGACAGAAGTTCAGAGTCTATAGAAGCCAAGGTCACTAGAACTTGTGGAAGGAGGGGCAGTGAGAGGAAGAGCTCCAGAGATGTGCAGAGGATTCCCCACAATTCTTTGACTGAATACTAACTAGGAAACACATGTGTAAGGAAACTAATGAGGCCTGAGAAAGAACCACCAAAAGAGAAGGCTGAATAGTCTGTAGAGCTTGCACAGGGCCAAGAATGGAGTTCCTACCAACCTGAATGTAAAGAACTCCTAATATACCGGGCATTGATCTGTGTCCTCAGAAAGGGAACAGATTAGCCCTAAAGAGTATTTGGACCTAACAAAGCTTAAAAGCAAGCTTCTAGGGGCGTCTGGGTGGCTCAGTCGTTAAATGGTTAAATGTCTGCCTTCGGCTCAGGTCATGATCCCAGGGTCCTGGAATCAAGCCCTGCATCTGCTCAGCAGGAAGCCTGCTTATCCCTCTCCCACTCCCGTGTCCTTGTCAAATAAATAAATAAAATCTTAAAAAAAAAAAAGTTTCTAAAGCGTCGCTCTCCAACAGAACTTTCCTCAATTATTTAAATATTCTCTATTGTCCACTATACTAGCCACTAGCTCCACGTGGCTTTGGAAGTTGAAATGTACATAGTACAAATGAAATTTTAAGTTTTTTCTAATTTCGTTTAATATTTAATATTATATAACCTTATTTACATTATATATAAATATTTAACATTATATAACCTTATCTAATATTAAAATTTATCTAAGTTTTATCTACTTTTATTAATAAAAATTCAAAATGCCACATGTAGCTAGTGGTTACTATTTTCAACGGTTTAGCTCTAAAGGATTCAACTGTTTCCAAGTAACATTACTACATCTCAGAACAAAGCCTAAATATATTTAAAGAAAAATAAAAATAAAACTTCCAGCACCCAACAATGTAAAATATGCAATGTCTGGCAGTCAAAAAAATTAATCAGGCATGAAAATAAGCAGAAAAATATGACCCATAAGCAGGAGGAAAAAAAAAATTAGGTAATAGAAACAAACCCAGAAATGACACAGGTGTTATAATTAGTATATGAAGACTTTAAGAGCTATTTTAAATACACTTCATATTTTCAAGAAGGAAAACATGATCACGATGAGGTTAGAAATGGAAGATATTAAAAATAATTAAACTTCCAGAGATGAAAAAAACCAATTCTGACATAAAGAATACTGTGGATGGAGTTAACACTGCCAAAGGAAAGAAGAGTGAACTTGAAGATATACCAAAAGATATATTAAAATGAACAGAGCACCAGTTCACTGTGGAAAAACATTAAGCAACTTAACATATGTTCAACTGGAGTCCCCAATTTTTTTCCTAGAGAACCAAGGAAGTACAGGGGAAAAAAAGACAAAATAGAGGTTTTCTTTCTTTCTTCTTTTTTTTTTTTTAAGATTTTATTTATTTGAGAGAGAGCATACACAAAAGAGACAGAGAGAGAACTCACAAGTTGTGTGGGGGGCAGAGGGAGAAGCAGGCTCTCTGCTGAGCAGGGAGCCTGACACAGGGGGCCCGATGGGGATCATGACCTGAGCCGAAGGCAGAAGCTTAACGGACTGAGCCACCCAGGCACCCCAAAATAGAGGCTTTCATAGTGAAGACTGTGAAATGATGGAGGGAAACTAAGGGAACAGAAACACAGGCCTTAGAATTACACAGGAGTGTCTGTAACAGCTGGAGAGCACAGGTATATAAAAGGATTAGTTGAGGCAGGATGGAGCACTAACCACTCTTGGACTTCTAGAGAGGGAAGAAAATATTCACTGTCTGGGTTAGGGGACAAAGTTAACTGTCCTTGGTAAGAAAAGAAAGGAAAAGCTTCATGCCCTGGTTTGGCCTTAAAATGTCCTTTTCCCTATAGTTTTTCCAAGGAATCTTCAGTAACATCTAGGTAGTGCACATAAATGCTAAAGCTTTTCTTATTTTTCCCTTAGAGAAGTACTAATATGGGAGGTAGGAAAGTACTTTTTAAAAGATTTTATTTATTTAATTTATTTGAGAGACAGTGAGAGAGGGGGAGAGGATGAATAGGGCGAAAATCAGAGGGGTAGGGAGAAGCAGGCTCCCCCCGCACTGGCCTAGGATCCTGGGATCATGACCTGAGCCAAAGGCAGACACTCAACCAACTGAACCACACAGGCACCCCTAATTTTAAAATCTAAAAAAAATTTTTAATTAAAAAATTTTTAAGTAAGTTCTACACCAAGCATGGGGCTTGAACTCACCATCCCAAAAGCAAGAGTCACATGCTCCAGTTCATGTTTCTTTGTAACTTATTTTATCAGTTAGGGATAATTATATGTACCTCTTGAAATCTGTGACTTCTTTGTTTAAAAGAACAAGGACACTCAAGGTAAATTTTAGTGTTTAGCTATACTTACAAAGTATATGATAGCTGAAATAAATGCTACAAACTAGGAGATGTAATGGCACAAGTAATGGCGAAAGAGCAGAGATGGGGAAAAACATATGGCCCTTATAATTAAATGTACTTCTACAAAGAAATTTGTTCTAACGTGTTTATGACTGCCAATATATTATGGAGGGGTACTCACCTGGCAAAAACAGGAATTGTTAGTCTCTTCAAATGTGAAATTATTTGAAATACAGAGGTGCAAACTTTATCAAGATCATCAGAGAACAGCTATGAAAATCTAGTTACCTATTTCATCTGTCGGAAAAGAAAAGCAGATAAAGCCATTAGAATTCAGAAGCCCTTGGGTTAAGACAGTTTATTTCATATGAAGAAATGTTAAAAACAGTATTTATTTTCAAGCCGGGCTCCCAAAATTTGGCAGAGTAATGCAGTCCTTATTCTTTTTCACTAAAAATCCAATTTCTCCACTTTTAGGTAATGCGGTTAATTTTAACATAGTTGGATGGCCAAAAATATTACACCTGGTTAAATTAAAGGAGTGTTCCAAGACTGAAGGCTCCTACTCGGGAGCAGACAAATGTAAATGGTATTAAACAGGCAAACAATCAATACAATATTAAATATCAAGTGAGAGAGTATACCCTTTCCTCTTTTGTTAATCATCACCAGTTTTTCTGGAAAGGGGTCTTGGAGAAGAACTGGCATGTGGAGAAGGAAAACCAGTCAGGAATCTGCGCCTTTTTGCATAGCAATGAAGTTCTGCCACTTCCTAATTCAACCATGACTGAATCGTGCAGGGCTGACCGGGTCGTGGGTTCGCTGGCTGCCTTACCCGAACAGAAAGAACTTCTCCCTTCCGAGAGGATGCAGCAGCAGAACCCGACCTAGGAGATTCACTGAAAACCGGCCCCTTGCCACGGCAGGAGAGCTCAACAACCTCCCACTGCCCAAAAGCAGCTCTGGGGAGTAACGAGTTCGCTGAAACTGGGTCCAAAACGGTAATATATCCCTAGGGGGGAAAAAAAATGCAACAAAGCTGCAATAGCGAAGCAGCAGGTGTTCTAGAGCCAAGGGAGGGAGGCTGGCGGAGATACAGCCCTGCGCATGCGTGTTCTATTCAGGTGCGGCCGCCGCAAGCAGGGAGTAAGAATTAAGTGGTGAAGAAGAGGGCAGCGGCTGGTTACTAGGAGACGGGACGCTCGTGTGGGGACGGCTAAGCGCAGCGCGGGCCTACGCCTGCGCGGCGCGGATGGACCAGGAAGAGGCCTCTACTACGCACCCTGTACGGCGGGAAGGTGGACGTACGCGTCGCTACGTGCGTGGGTGCGCACGCACGGCTTCTGGTCCCCGCGAGAAGGAAGGTCGAGCCAGGTACGCGTGCGCACGGGAACTGGGGGCTCGCGGGACGGAAGCGGAGCGAAGGCGCCGGGGAGGTGGAGGACGAGCCCCCCTCAGGTACAGAGCGTGAGGGCGGGGCCCACGGCGGCGCCGACCGACGCTAACCGCCCCTGCCTCCTTCCCTCCGGGTCCCGCCTTCCTCTGCCTCCCGCGGGGTGGGGCCAGGTTGATTTGGGGATGGGAGGGGAGGGGAAAAGGGCGGAGGATGGAGACGGGGCGGGACCAGGATCCCTGGCGCAGGCCAGGACTTGCCAGTCGTCGACATGAGCTCCGGGGAGGAAGACGGGCGGAGAAATCCGGAGAGGGACTCGCAGCTCCAGGTAGAGGCAGCAGAGATGTGCCGGATTGGGGTAAAGCCCCTCCTGGACCAGAAGGCCCTGCAACAGGGAGGATATGACGGGGATTTGGGGCTGAGGGTGATCTCTGAAGTGGGGATTCACTGCTTGACGGCTTGAGGGACGGTAGCGGGCTGAGCTGCGGTCCAGGGAAGCCCCCCAGGAGCAAACTTTGCCGCTGTTGTCGTTTCTTGGGCGCTTAGGGTTGAGCCCAGTTCCTATGGTGACCGCTTTGCTTCCTGCCGCAGCTCTCCGCTTGGTTGTTGCGGGGACTGTTTTGTTTAGAAACGCTTGGAGTGGAAGTGAGGAATTTGGAAGTCAAAGATTTGGTAGTTCAACCTGCCCTTCTTGACTCCCAGCCTCTCACTTCTAAGCCTCTTTATAGACTTTGGGAGGTGAAGGGCCGAGATTACATAGGTATTTGCATGAATATTTCATAAAATTTCAGTAGAAATTGTACACAGGAAAGGCAGGATAAGCTGGGTTTTGTTTGAAAAAATATTTTAGACTAAAGTAGAGTAACAGCGGCGATTATGGACCTGATACTTAAATATGCATAGGAATACATTGTTATTGTTTGTTTTAAAGGCAAGGATCAGGGCTTCAAGAACGGTTTGCACAGATGACACAGCCCCGGTGTTTTCCTTCTAACATTCCAGGACCTTATATCGCAGGATATTCGTTGTTTTAAATTTCCTCTACTGGTTTTCAGCATTTAAAGTACACTTAAAAAAAAAACCTGTATGGAAATAAATGGAATAAAATTGGTTTATAGCTAGAGGAAACTAGGTTAGTTATAAACAAATGGATAGTGGCACATTCAAATCTGCCTTCAGGATAAAACTGATTCTTGTTTGTATCTTAATTGCTCAAGGAACTGAACCATTCCATTTTAATTAGTGAGAAATAACTAGGAAGGTATATTAATGAAATATTTATTGTAAACAAACTTTGGCATTATTTAATGGCAGCTTGCAAAATATATCTTATTTTGTTTATTGTCTGGAAATCACTGTAGTCCAACATATAATCAGATGTAGAGATTTTGTTGGCTCCTTTTCTGTCTTCTTTTTTAGTTGCTTAGATCAGTTTTAGGGTAATTTACTTTTAGAGTATTCCATATATGGAGACAGAGCAGGTGTTATTATTCATTCTCTTTTCTCATCACATGCTCCCTCTTCTGCCCAGATGTAGCCACCATCCTGATTTCTATGATAACCACTTCCTTGCTGTTCCTTAGAGTTTCGCCATCTTTGTATATGCGAACACGCACATTCTAGTTTGGCTTGTTTTTGAACTTCATATAAATGGAATTGTAGTTAAGTATTCCTTTCTAGTTTGCTACTTTAGTCAACATTATGTTTTTAAGATTTATGCTTGTTGCTTATAGTTTGTTGTTTATAGTTTGTTGTTTAGTGTTTACCTACTCTACTATTAAGGTTTTTACAGTTTTGGTAAATATGAACCACTGCTGTGGACTTTCTCATACATGTACCCCATTATAATCTTTTGAATTGACCTAGTTAGTAGGGTAGTTGTATTTGTCTTAGGGGATTAACATCAGTTTATTATTAATATTTTTTAGTTCAGGAAAGCCTCTTGAAAACAACTCCTTAACCCCCTATGTTTCTTAGAGGTCTTGGTAAATGATACTTCTCCTGGGGCCATTGTTTTATGCTCCTTTAAAAAGACAAGTTATTTCTTTACAGAATAGTCTGCATTGAAGATAACTAAAGAGCTTGAATTTGAATGGATAACTGGAGAGATTATTTCTTTTTCATAAGAAAGGTTAAGCATTGTGTCGTTATTGTTTTGTTTGAAGTGAGTTCCCAAAACCTTTATTCACTTATTTTTATAATACAAAAACCTATCTCAAAATTATTCATGAAACTGTGTGGTTTTCTACATCTTTCTTTGATGTTATTCCTTCCTACTTCAAAGGATCTGTCTGTAAACTTTTTTTATAAAAAGAAAACAAGTTGACTTTTTGTGGAACCAGATTTCAGAATCCCATATAAAATACTGTAGTATTTTTAATTATTCTACCAAAATATTCGGTGACTTTTGTTGAGTGTGTGTTATATGTGTGATATTTTACTCAGGATTGGTATTTTTTTCTTTTTAGTGCATGATCTTATCTCCTATTTCATGAAAAATGAAAATTCTGTCAGGCAGGACTCTTCAGATTTCTACCCCTTCTTACCTAAATCTTCACCTGACCTTGCTTTCCTCTTTCTTGTCTCCAAGGACAGTGCATCTGCCATTTATTTGGGTTTCCTTTAATTGGCTCAGTAACTTTTCCCATTAGTTAACATTAACCCTTGTCTTAGGAATCTTCTATGTGTTTCTACTGTAGGACTTAACCAAGAGCACAAGAACTTTAGGGAGTTCTTCAACCCCTGAAATTGTTTGTAAAGTTTTGTATGTGTTTTTATTTTACTGAGGAGAGGACTTGGGCTTTTGTTTAATTCTGAAGGGGGTCCTTGATATAAAGAGAATTAAGAAATAAGTTTTTCTCCTTTGTAAATAACCCTTCAACAACAGGGTCGTCTTCTACCTTTCGCTCTACTTCTTGTCTCACAATCATGCTTCCTAAAAGAAGTCTACATTTTCTATTTCCTTTTGTTCATTACTCATTTATTAGTCCTCTTTGAATGTGCTTCTACTCCTTCTGTACCATTGAAACTACTTTCTTTGGATTGTCAAAATTTTGTTATTTTGAAAATGTTCTGTTGGCCACCAATTTTGTGTTGGGCACTTCTGTAGGCATTAGAGATATAAGAGTGACCAGACAGAAGCCTAGATCTCTTGGAGTTTACCTTCTAGGAGTGGGGAGACAGACCATAAACAAGTGAAAAATAAATGATATAATTTCAAATAGTGTTAAGTGCAAATAACCTGATGAGAGAGTATCTAGGAGAGAGGTTACTTTAGGAAAGAGGTCACTTTAGGGAAGAGGTCCGGGAAGACCTGCTGACATTTGAGCCAGAGAAGGAGCCGGTCATGCACAGGGCTGGGAGAGAGAGTGTTCTGAAGAGAGGGAAAGCAAGATTCCACTTCATTCCTTGAAGTGGAATGAGATTGGCACAGTGGAGGAACAGAAAGAAAACCAATAAAGCCGATGGGTGAAAAAGAGAGTACTAGATCTACGTAGGGAACTGAAAGCAAGGGCCAAATTATGTAGGGCCTTTAGAAGTTTGGATTTTTATTCTAATTGCAGTGGGAAGGCATTGGAGTATTTTGAGCAGGATCTCATGATTTTAAAGTGATAGTTTTGATTTTGACTTGGAAAAAAAGTTGTAGCGAGCAATAGTATAAGTATAAAGACCACTTAGGGAACTGTACGAGTAGTCTTGTAGGAGAGGAATATGGAGGTGGTAATAAGCATGTTGAGAAGTGGATGGATTTGGAAAATATTTTAGAGGTCAATCTAACAGGGTTCATTTTGCAGGGGTTAGATAAAGAGGAAACAAAGACAGTCTCTTGGGCACTGCACAAATAATGG